AACAATCACTTCATCTAAAAATATAAAATCCACAACCGAAAAACAAAATTGGGAAGCAAAAACATGTAACCACCCGCCATCACAACCCTCACACAGTCTCAACCCAATCGCCAGAAAGCCATCACAACCACCCCTCATCACAACAATATCCATAAGAGCCCTTCCACCCCACACAACCACACTCAAGTTCACCCACCATACACAACCACACCCTAACTCAAAGTTATACTGTAGATCACCACAGCAAGATAGCCCCAGGAAAAGCTGTAGAGAGGAAACTTCCAAATGAAAACCATGCCACCTCTATAAAACCTAAAGAAACAACACCACCAAATAAAGACCTACACCCCCATCAAAAAACAGCCCCAACACAGGGTGCAAGAAACCAACAACAAAAAGGAAATCCCCTTCATATCAGAAATAAAAATTGAAGCAATGAATTCTAAGATAAGGCCTACCCGACATGACCACATCTAGCAGCCTCCACAATTATGGAGAGAAGGTTTGAGCCCACCAACAGTTAGTAAAGCAAGTCAAGGCCAACCAAAGGGCAAGCCTAACCCCCTCATTATAAATAAAACTTCTCTCTATATTAGTGTTCTAAGTCTTATGCCAAATGGATGAAACAAGGCAAACCAACAAGCTGACAATAAGATAAAATTGCAGCAATAGTAACCCCTAAAAATCAAGTACCCAGACTCAGAATAGCAGAACCGCCCCAATTCAAGCAGAAATATACAAGCATCATAAAAGAAAAACTCCATCATAACGGTGAGTAAAAAGAATCAGTGCATCATAACAGATAAGACATATCTAAGATGTCCTCACCAATTACACTCCTCTATTCCACAGCCACAACACACACAACCAGAACATCGACAACACACAGAGCCACAACACCCACATGTTCTTAAGACAAAAAAGCAAGAAGTTAACACAGTGATCTCTACCAATACAGGTATCAAGAGGTTCATACAATATGAAAGACTAGAAAATTAAACATCATTCAAATTTTTCTCTAATGCAACTAACTGTAATTCCCTATCATAAGAATCATTAAAATTCGAAGTGTCAATTCTAGCTATTATTTAGTATCTAGTGGTGATACATCAATATATCAGAAACCTTTGCAAAGGCGACCAATTACAAGATCTCCTCAGCAACTACTTAAGAAGCTCGATAATTCAAAAAAAGGTACATGTAGATTCCGATTCATATAGAAGATGGAAGCTTGCTAAAACCCAAGCTAAAGTATCATATGAAGTTTCGTCAGCTTATCAGATCAACAACTCGAAATCCACATCTAGAATACTGCAAAAAGACAAATCACAATTCTCAAACAGACACAAAGAATTGAATTAGGAAAGCCAAAAATCTCGCGAGGAATAAATCTTGGGCCCCAATATATAAAATCTCGCAAAAAATTCCAACACAGAGAGCCAAAAATCACATGAAAAAAGCCATGATTCCATCGACAACCGCATGATTACATAGAGCCAAAAATCGCAGGAACTTACAGAGAAACGTAACCGGAGCACCGAGTGAGAAGGGAGAGGAGAAGGGTAATGCTAAGGGCGAGAGAAGCGCAGGTGAGAGAGATTGATCGCAAAGCTAGGGCAAGGAGAGGGGTGCGAGATCGAGATCGAAAGGGCAATGGGGTAATAATCTGTAAAGGAACGTGGACCGCAGGGTCTATCCCGCGGCCGTGATCCTTCGAAAGTAACTCCCGTTTCGCTCATGCGTTTCCGAATCCGCCCATAGAATGCAATTACTAAACAATCCGTCGGCGTTTTGAAAACACGATACATGTAAATAAGCTGCCCCAAACAGACCCTAGGTACATGACATGATTTAGTTCCTAGATTCTTTAAATGAGATCAAAACAACATTGTCATTTAAACTAACGAAATTCAAAGTTAATGATAATTAAATGAAGGTATTTTAAAAAATGTGCTCTTATTTTAAATTAATTTTATTTCTCTCTTCCATCTTGTTTATTAAAACTAAATTTGCATAAAATAGAAATGTTTTGAGATTCGGTAAGTTGTAAAGCGAGTTGATTTTTTTTAGTTAAATAATTTAATTTGATGATTTTGTTATTTTGATTCCATTATAACAGAAAATTATACTCAATGTATTACGTAATGTTGTGCAGCTGCAACCTTATTGGTCCCTGGGAGATGTCCAGACCTTAGCCCTGAAGGTGAAGAGCAGAAAAACAGAGTAGACAACCACCACCAGTCCGACAGCTACTAGCAGTTGGAGACACCAACTGGAACATGCCTTAAGGAGTTGAGAAAACTAGATCGGATAAGGACGGGGCCACTCCGAGTGAAAAGAAGTATGATAAGAATAACACACCTGTTGCAGTTCCCTTCAAAAATACTTTAGATATAATTTATTTGGGCACATAACCTCCAGTTGCCCAACGATTCGAGTTGTCGTCTACTGAGCAGGGCACATTGAAGCAGGTTAGCGGAGAGGAGGCAGCTGAAGAATAGGATGAGGTGTATCATCTTCCACCAGATGATGGCGAGATGTTGTGGTTCGACGGGTCCTACAAATCGAGGATACGAGGGATCCGCAGTGGTTACGCCATAATCTAATCTATACCCATTGCACCATGAACAAGAAGATATGCAGTCTCATGAGCGATGGAGAGAAAAACAAGAATGTGTTGTCTACGCAAATGGTGGAAAAAATGAGCCTCATTACTCGGATGCATTCTCAGTCCTATTCTCTGACATAGTTGAAGAAGGATAACAGGATCAACATTGATAGGAAAGTGTCTGTTGGAGTTCTCGATCGGAAGCCAGTTGCAGGATCGGGTGTGGTGTGACATGGTACATATGGAAGCTTGCCACTTGTTATTGGGGAGACCTTGGCAATTCAATCGCAGGACTCAACATGTTGGGTTTCAAAACACCTACTCCTTCACTAAGGGAAGCACATCGACATTCTATCGTCTATGGAGTCCGAGATCACTTATAGCCTTACTAGTAGAGAAGCATCACTAAGAAAAAAGTTTAGTGAAGTTAAAAGATTATAGGACTAAGATGTTGATTCCAAGCATGTGGCAGTCACAACAGAGAGAGTTTCAAGACAACACATCAATATCTTACCACCGTGGCCACCACCATTCGAGGAGGCATAATTTACCCCCACTTTAGATTGGGTTAAGCGGTCCTGGATTATTTTGAGAGACAGTGCAGCCGACAGTGGGATCTAGATGTTGTTAAGACCGCAGATAAAGAATCAAAAGTTTTGAAGAATGAAATTGAAGTTCCTCCAACCACGGGAGATTGACGCGGGGGCATGGGCTAAACCGGCCAGCAATTCAACAAGGGGGTTGTTAGTTCAGCGGGGAGGCTGAACCTACCGACTCTAATTAGGGTTGGGAGCTGCTACCGCATCTAACCCCTTCTAGTTATCTTCTTTTATTATAAATATGTTGTTTATTGTGTTACGATTTAGTTTTTTGTGTTTAAGAATTCTGTCCAGCTTGCCGTCGTCGCCTGTTTTCCTCTATAGGGCTGTATCCAAAAGTGAGAAGGTGCTCCTGATGTAATTCGTTCGAGGTGGTGACCATCTGCAAGAGTCTGAGCGGTGCTCCAAATTTAGCTCAATCCCGCAGGGAAAATTATCCGTTCTAACTCTCCTCCACAACCTCTCCTGCCCTTCTTGTTGACCGTCAACCATTCCTTGGCCGCCCTGCCGTGCCGCCCTTCCTCCCTTGATGCAGCACTCTCCCCTGCACCCTACTTGCTCCATCCAGCAATTCCACCTGCAGCAAATCCTGCTGCCGCTAGTCTGCCCCACCATCTTTTTGCTGTCCACAACCACTTCTAGTTGCTACTTGCACAATCCCCTTAAACCTCACCCGTAGACCTGCTCCCCCTGCTGAATTGTGAACCACACCCTTTCTTCCTTTTTCCTTCCCAACTGCAAACCTAACTACCCTCTTCCAGCGCAATTCCACATCTCATAACCACCTCTCATGACTGCCCATCGGCTTCCCGCCTCGCCCTTCCCGCCTAGCCCTAGTTGGAGATTCGTGTTGTGTTGTATTTTCTTTTCTGGTTTCTGTGTCTTGATTAATTGTAACCCGTTTGAATTTCAACAATAATATTTACATTTCGATTGTGGTTTGGGTTAACCACGGTATCAATTGGTATCACAGTTTGATTAACTCTGGCATCAATTGATGTCAAAGCGAAGTTAGAAATATGCTCTGATACTTAAATGCAAGGATAATCCCTCACAATGAGTGCTCTGCCAATTGTTGTCCCAGGATTATGGATGCGGAAGGCTTTTTTAATCTGTATTCAGCACATTAATCAAGTAATTGTTTTATAATTTGAGCTTAGGCTTCCCCTGGGTGTTGATTTCGTGCAAAGATTTATAGAGCAGATGAAAGATAAAGATGATATGGAATAACAACCCTTTTTCTATACCCTAATTAGATCATCAACCTGCAAGTATGCGATATATTGAATAATGGATAGAATGGGGGCTAGCTTGAGGTCAAAATCAGATAGATTTGAGATCCTCTTGGATCAATTGGTGCATTACTTTGTCCACCCATGCGGCCCGATTTGATTAGGCAAGCCAAATGTTGGGAAGAACCTTCGGGGCCCAATTATGGAATTCTTTCTTTGATGATTTTGTGGATAACGTGATTACATACTTGGAGATATTGCCTCGAGGAATATTAGTACCTGCTATTTCTGCAGGCGGTTTATCTATATGAAGATTTTATAAGAAAATTGGCTCTACTTTGTATTATATAACTTTGATTAAAAATATTTGTCATTTTAATTGATTGTATTTTGGTATCAGAAATTTCGTTATTCATATTTCAAATATGGTTAGCATATGATAATATGTTGAGCGTTTTAGATCATTTGCTAATTTATTTTTATTTTTCTTTGTCCGAGATGTCATCGTGTGTCTTAAAAGTAGAAAAAGGAAAATATAAAACTTGCATTTTTGTGAACTAGATGGGACATCACATATAAAGATGGAGGTGAATGCTCCTAGACTTCATTATGTTCATCCTACTTATTTTGAAGCTGGGAAAGCGGTGGAGTTCTTTGCTTGTGGAAGTAACCTTGATCAGCCTAAATTACGGTAATTAAGCGGATAATATGGAGCTATTTCTCTAACTATGCAATTTCAATTTTCGCACTAGCAATTGGTGTTGGCCACTATTCTTTTTACTGCTATAGAAAGTTTTTTAACAATTTGTATCGTCTAATCTCTTTAATACTATTTATACAACGCACAATCATTGGCAGACATGATTTAGCTCATTGACCGATTTGGAAATTGACGTCAGTGTATCACAACTTTTTTCTTTGCAACTTATTTTTTTATTTTGTTTATTTTTCTTTTTTTTTTGCACCTTTACTTATCTGTGATTAAAGTGTTTGTTTTGTTGGCTAACAACTGTAGTGAAGTGAAAAAGCTTTGGGTTGTATGATTATGTGGATGTGTGCTAGCCCTGTGCTAGATATCTTTTAAAAAGAATGAGAGGAAAGAACCGATAAACATAAATTAACAATGATACATCATCAATAAATTTTGTCATTTGACATGAATCTTGAGGCATTTTATGAGCAAAAAATATTTAAATGCAAATTAAAACTAATCAATAACTCCGATTTCAACAAGTTTACAGTCAAACTGACCAGCTCAGCGGAACGAACCTATGATACCAAAATTGATCAAATCTAAGTTAAATCAGACTCAGATTTAGTCATTAAACCATTTTTGAAAACTTCGGGCAGTCAATTAGAAGGTATTCAAAATCTAACAACCTTATAAGTCAAATCGAGTAACTTGATGAGACGAATCCGAGTCCAACATCACTCAACTTTGACATCAAAATTTCATCTGATCAGGAAATCATTCTGAGCCATTTGATTTAGTAGTCCAGATTCTTGTTGGAGACACACTACCTTCATGAAAGCAGGTTCAAAACCTGGGAGGATCATAACTTGACGGAGTACAATCCGAGAGCCGTTTTAGACTCAAAGATCCGATAATAAATTTCGCTCTCCATAGTAATTGACCACCGTTCACCATCACTCATATGTCGTCCCTTGTTTATGTCAATATTTTGAAAAAATAGGCTGGATATCACTCGTATTATCTGCATGAAGAGGAGTAGACTCAAGCTGAGGAAAACCAAGCTTAGCCAACACACATTGAAGCCAAATAATCTCGGAATAAGCAGAGGACATAACGCAATATTCTGAATCAGTAGATGACTTAGACACTCGATATTGTTTCTTGCTCTTCCAAGAGATTAAAAAGTTGTCGAGAAACGTGCACCATGTAGTAATAGATCAACGTGTATCAGAACAACCAAACTCAATCAGAATCACTATATGCTGTTAAGGTGATAGGAGACTTCGCAGAAAAGAACAAACCATGATGAGAAGTACATGAGAAGTACCTTTCAAATACCGTACCTTTCAAATACCGAACAATACGTCAAACTGCAGCTAAATGAAGATGTGTAAGTTCTTGCATAAATTGGCTAACTTGTACAACAAATAAAATATTAGGACACGTAATAGTCAAATAATTGAGACTTCTAACAGGTTATCGATATAGAGCTGGTTCAGATAGAAATTCACCATCATTCTATTAATATTTAACATTTACTTCCAAAGAAGTATCAGCAGAGCGACCATCTTGAAGACCAGCCAAAGCAACGGGCCCCGTCGTATAGTTGTGTTGATGAAGGAAATTACCAGCGGGAGAAGAGTGAACCTCAAGTCCTAAGAGATAAGTTAATGATCACAAATATTTTGTATGAAAAGAACCTTGAAGACACTTCTGTAGTTGAGACATTGACCGACCTTTTTTGTAAGTCAACAATTACAAGAATTTGATGACGCAACTAGAAGATTTAAATTCCAGCAATGATGTCAAAAACTTGACTGCGACTTGATATATATATATTTGATTTAATAAAGATGTATAGATATAATATTCAATAATGTTAAAGTCGAATTGTCAACGCAAGTATACGTATCGCTCAAGTAATATAGGGCTCTAGTC